CCTTCCCCGAGGAGGTGGTGGCCGGGCTGGACAAGCTGTCGGTCCTGCGCCTCAGCGCTGGCTACCTCCGCGCCAAGAGCTTCTTCAGCGGTAAGGGCACCGCCGGCGGGAGCTCCCCTGGGATTGTCCCCCAGATGTGCTTTTTTCCCCCCTTTCTAACACCGGATTTTCGCGCTTCGCAATCTCAAGCTGAAAGGCTTCAGGATGCGTCGCGCCTTGGCGAAAGCAGAGCTCGCACTTGTTTGGAATTAGAGGGGCCTGGACAGATGAAGTTGATTTTGCTTGTGGGTTCTGCTGAAGTAGAAAATTGAGGTTTACGCTGGCGGTTTTCGGCGTGGTCCCGGGCTGAGGCTTTGGTAGGCAGAGCTGCCAGGGTAGCGGCGCGTTGCGCAGCCCAGCTGGGAAGTTTCACGATGCAAGTGACTTTTTTTTTCCCCATTACAACAGACGGCTGAAATCCTCAGTGTGCTGACAGTGAATAATAATTACCTGCGACGTGGTTACAGTTTATTTGGGAACCTTTTAAAATAGACCGTGTTAAAGGCATGTCTGCATTCTACTGGGCTATGATTGTTGGCATTAATAGGAGCCCACAGGAGGGTATTTAGGCAGCCCTACGTTTTCCTGATGAAACAGCAGGCACCCGAGAGTACTGTGTATGACCTCGGAAACACCATTATTTCTCTTTTTAACTCCAAATCATTGATTGTAATAAATGCCCCAGTTTTTTTTTTTTTTTTTTTTTTTTCTTTTCCATTCTCTTTTAAACCCTGCTTGTAGGATTGGGAAACGGGTGAAATGAAAAATGAATGGCCTCAAGGAGAAGTTGTTTGCCTCGTAGTATCAGGTCAATTTGTTTGACTATATCGGCAGTGTTCTCTGCAGTGGTTTTGCCCTGGTAAAGAGCTGTCCTGCGTCAGCCTTTGCGACGCTGAACAAGTTGCCCGAAAACCATCATCTGCGATGATGCTCCAAAGCAGCGTGGTGCTGGTGTTTCTGAAGCACGCTTGTTCTTGCGCAGGGTGGAAGTCCGTGGCGCAGTGCAGGCCTCGCTC